GGGGCCACTGCGAGGAATGGCTCCATATTTCAAGACAGCGGCAGGAAAGTTACTTCTTGTCGACGAGAGGCCATGATAGCGCCGCCGAGCGCCGCGCCGTGTCCTGGCCAAGTCCGCCCCGTATACGCGCCAAAAATGGAGGAGGGGAGGGGGGGGGGCGCCAGCAGGCCACTCAAACGCGCTGCATATTTCGAGAAAAAGGGGGCAGCAGACGGCGGCAGAGCGAGACCACGAGAGAGAGGGAGAGAGAGTGAGTGAGTGAGAGAGACAAGAGAGAAAGAGTGGGAGAACGATAAGAAAGCAAGAGTTGAAAGGAGGGCTGGGGAGGTAGATAAGGGCCCGCTCCTGCCCGTCCTGTTGTTGGAGGGTTGCGATCGGCATCAGACGAGCCCGGCCGTGTATATAATATTGCCGCGAGGTAATATGGCGTGAGATTTTTATAGCGGCATTCCGAGCATAAATCATCACATTCTCACACACACACAGACACACTCACACACACTCACACACAGTCACACGCCAATACACACACAAGCGTGTATATACACGGCCCGTGCAGGGGATGCATGTACCATACGCGGTGACGTAGGCGCGGTAATGCCATATGCCTCCACCGAGGCCTCCGCGTGCGGTAGTGTGTGCATCCGCCATTTTACCGCCCCCTCCCTCACCCCCCCTCTCTTTCTCTCTCTCTCTCACACACACACACACACACACACACCAGAAACGGCGGGCGAGGTGAGCTAAGACCCTCACCACGTGAAGCGTTGTGCTGCGGTCCGGTAACCGGGGGAAGGAGGGGGTGGGGAGTATGGTAACCTCGCCCCCCCCCACCCCCATCCCCCTCCGTCTCCTCCACCCGGAGCACCGGAAAATGCATTAGCCAGCTGGGCGGGGGTCGTGGCCAGCAGCCCTGGCGGAGCCGCTATGTAGGTCAGTAGCTAAGCAGCGCGGCGGCCGCAGGACCGCAGGAGGAGTCCTGCAGGACGTTACGGGGTTGGAAAGCCTGTGAGGTCCCTGGACACTGTACGCGGGTGCGTGCGCACACACGGAGCTGCGGGAGGGGTTTGAGTTAATTATTTTCGATTACCTTCGATTATATTCGATTATTTTCCAGGATCCGGCAGGCGCCTCCTCCGCCGGCCTCATCGGGGCAGCCCCCCAAGTGCCTCCTGCAGTTATCAGTAACGACAGCCGCTCGATCACCGCGGCTTCGATTCCATCTGCCTGTCGCTTTCTCTCTCGCCAGGTTTGCGCCGAAAGACAAATCACCCAATACCCAACCCACCCCACACCACACCACCCCTAGTCCCTGATGAGACGCCCACCGCTGAAATCGTTATCATTTTTGCAGTACAAAAAAAAGGCTGAAATGCTGCTTTGCAGTTGTAACTTCAGTAGACTCTTTCGCCTCAGTAGAGGCACGATAATTGGAGTTCTATTTAGAGGCTATCTAGAATTTCCTTAGAGAGAATGCCGAGTTTTTACACTGAAAGAGGATTAAAATAATTGCCAAGAATGGGAAAAATAAAACTGGCCACTTCCTTCGTTTTCTGAAATGGGCCAATTAAAGGATTTGGGATGATCGCAGGTACAATTGGTTGACTCACCCACCACCCGCAGCCGGTCCACCCGAGGCAGCCTACTAACGGGTACGAAAGCTCACCTGCAACAGAGGGAAAGAGACAAAGGGATCAGCGGGTGAAAGCCAAAGGTATTTCACTCTGTCATCGTCTGCCTCGCATTCTTCACACATCGCGCAGCTCGCATTTCGCCTGGCAGCTGCCGCAGCCGCCCCGCCAGAACGAAAAACGGGAGCGGACCAGGCAGGGAGTTCTCAGTACGTGTATCAAAGGAGCTCTCTGTCGTCTTTCTCCTTTTTTTTTTTGCAGCAGCAGAAGCCTGAAGAGAGATATAGATGCCCCCCCCCCCATGCGGTCCTCCACACTCTAACTCATCACACATGCTTGTCTGCAACAGCAGCCCTCGTCACAGCCCCCCCCCCCCCCACCAGCGCTCAAATGATCAGCAGGCCAAAGACGGGAAAACAATGAAAGTATGAAAAGTAACACAAAACAAAACGGAGCACAGCGCTCAGGAAAGGGATTGGTTGGGGTCGTGTTTGCAGTGTACACGGGAGCCGCAGAGCATGACCCAAACACACACTTTTACGTTCAGCGTCCAGAAACTACGTCCGTCAGTAGCCGCCATCAAACTGCCAACGTTCAGCATATATGCGAGCTCTCATAGCGCCTGGCAGGTAGGCAACATCTCGCCTGCTGTGCATGCGTGCACTGCGGGGTGGCCTACCCCGAGTCTCGCAGGCGCCGAGCTCCCGTAAGTTGTCAACGAATGAATCAGACACTTAATTTACAATGTTCATAGAGCAACTGCGGGGAAAGTAAGGAGTTCTTTAGAAATTGCCACACTGTAGCGACACGGACATATCGCTTCTTTCGGATACATATTTTTGGTATGGCCAGGGTACAGCTTCTTTTGGGGGCATGCCCCTTTACAACAGGCATTATTATGAAATCCCCAAATCGTCCACCTCTCTTTCTGGTGTATCCAGTGAGTGAGCTCTTTCTCTTGTCTGACATTTTGTTGAACATCCCCGGGGCGGGCGGCGCGCCAGTACTTCCTCAACCTCAGCGGCAGACAGCTATCCCTCTCGCTGCCCAGCGTTCCGCTTGGACGATCACCTCCAGTCCGAGCCTTCTGGAGGGGTGGGGAGGGGTGGGGTGGGGAAGGGGAGGGGTGAGGTGGGGGTTGAAAGGGGTCGAGCTAATTCAGGGATCCATGGCAGAGCCGAAAGCCAAAACTGAGCGATCACTGGGGGAGGCCGGCAACGCAATGGATCAAGAAGTAGCATCAGCCTCCTGCGTCTGCTCGGAGATACAACGCGGAAAATTGAGAGCGAGCGAGCGAGCGAGAGAGAGAGAGAGAGAGAGAGAGAGAGAGAGAGAGAGAGAGAGAGAGAGAGAGAGAGGCGGAAACCAAGAGAGGGCCTAAGATGCGCCCATTCCGTAATTCCCTGGGCGTAAAGACGCTATTAATTTTTATTGGGTATTACGCGGCGCATAGCAAGCAGGAGTGGCGCCGGGTGAGTGGAAGGGGGAGGGGATGTACGGAGTGCGGCCCCGGCCCGGTGTACACGTCGCGGCGACCCCCAAAGCACCCAGCAAATAACCGGTATACCACTATACTAACGCACCAGAAAAAAACAACTAACATTTAAAAAAGTTAAAAAAGAAAATATTTACGCTGTACTTTATTTTTTAAGGGAGAGGATGTCGATTGTTTTTTTTCTTCTTTTTTTCAATGTGCCTAATTAACCAAGACATGCACGTTTGTTGGTCTACTTCGAGGCGAACGGGCTGCGGGCGAATGAGGAGGCCGCTAGCACACGCCCTGCGAAACAGGCTTATAACCCCCCCCCCTCCCCCGTCTGTGTCGCTCTCGTCTCCTTCCCCGATAACTTCACACGCTTTATTGGCTTAAAAGGCGTTGAAAGAGGGACTAAACTTCGTTGCCGCCGGCAAATTTTGTTGGCAGCCGCCGCAGGAGAGGGGGGGGGGGATGGCTGGAGCTGGGGCGCCCTGAGGTGGAGGTGGTGGACGACGACCACCGCGTTCTGCGGCCCCTCCCCCCGCCTCTTTGCCGCGACCAAACCACAGCGAGGGGATGGATTAATCACCAGTTTAAAGGGATATATAACCCAACTTTTTTCCATCATTGGCTCGTGCCATAGGAAGATCTGCTGAGGCAGGAGGGAAGTCCTTCCCGCCCGGTGCAACGCGTTCGCCAGAGCAGCGCTGAGCAGGGCGGCGACGACGCCCCCCCCCCCTCTGTTTCTGCACGGACCTACAGAGAAAGAAGGAGGACAATTCTTCCATTCATACACATGGAGGCCCATTACGAACTGAAAAGGGGGGCAAGAAAGGAGTTGCATACCGACGGTAGATTCGCTATTTCGCCATTTCCTTCCACCCTTTCTACTCTCTCTCTCCGCACGCTGGACCAGTTCCAAAACACTCCATTTATTCATAGGAAGATGATGAAACAAGGGAGAGAGAGAGAGAGAGAGAGAGAGAGAGAGAGAGAGAGAGAGAAGGAGAGAGATGGAGCGGCACGCTGCTAAGGGGCGCAGACGGGTGGCGGTGGCGGGGGGCCGGTGGCGCACAACAAAGCTACGTTTGCTATCATCTTGCAGAGTGCCCAAGAGTGGAAAGAGAGACGCAAAGAGAGCAACGTGACGGAGAGAGAGAGAGAGAGAGAGAGAGAGAGAGAGAGAGAGAGAGAGAGAGAGGAGTTCTGGAAGAAGTTCCCGGTTGTAAACTGACGACGCGTGGAAGAGCTCGTCGGGTTTAAACACTCCCATCTCAGGCCAGGCACACCTCCTGTCACAATGTGCTGTCTACGAGGCTGTCTACGTGACTTTAAACAAGGTAGACGCACGTTAAAACCGTGTGAAGCTGAGCTAAATGTGCGTCTACCTTGGAGTGCGGCGCGCTAAAATTAAAATGTTTTCGCGATTTTGGTTGGCATGCCTGTCCATCGCACATCCCACGTCTCACGCCAGGCGCCTCACTTCACGCCGGCTTCCGGGCGGTCTCCCCTTGCGCTTCCTGACAGAGCTGAGCATTTAAAGTTAAAGTTTAATTTCAAGTTCAAGTTAAGCTCAGCAATAATGGAATAGGTCCTGGTACCTTCTCATGCTTCTCAGCGTAACGATTTTCTCAAAAGCATTGCGCGTGATCCAACTTTTTTTTGTATCTTTTTTCTAGGGGAGGGGTGGGGGCACGATTTGCGTGAGATTGCTTTAAAATGTATACTAGGGTCAGTCAAATGAAAAAGGTCATGCACGCAAGCGACATGGCGCGTTTTGTATCCGTATCAAATCCAGACAGCGATCTGCGTTTGTTTCTGTTTCTATTGTTGTTTGTGTCTGCACGCCAGCCGGCCACTGTTGTACTTAACATAGATGTTGACCACAGCACAATAGTCCCACAGAGTAGGTGGCCGCGGTATGTGTCGCCGAGGGGCGTTTTATTCCAAGAAAACGTGGACAGAGCACTCCGTATTACACTGTATCACGCACGGTATTACGATATAACTGCTAATATTCCGCAATTTCCTTTCTAGTGCCGCGGCGCCGCGTGTCTGCTAGTATTCCGGTGATCCAACATGTCGTTGGTACTCGTGTCCCTCATAGCACTTATGTGCCAGAAGGGCATCCACGGCAAAGGCATCAACTCTTTGATAGTAAGTTACATTTTACCTAATAATGCTTACACGACTGGAACAACAAAGGTATAGGTGTGGTGCGACCCCTTTCCAGGGATGTCATAGAACTTTTCAAAAGAACCCTATAGGTGCCAAAAATAGTACTTTTGGCAGTTTTAATGCCTTTCGTAAAGGCACTAAACATTTCGTGCCTTTTGTCTTTCCAATGCACTGAACACGAGCGGTGTGGAACTGGCCAAAAAAGTGTACGGATGATTATGTCCAGACAATCTTTATTTCAGGTTGTGTGCGATTGTGTATGACTGTTGAGATTGTCTTGATGATTGTTTAAGATTTTCTGATAAATATTCTGAAATATTTTGTAAAATTCTGTCAGATTGTGACTTGATTGTGTGATATTTTTCGATTGTGTGTGATTGTGTCCGATTGTCTCATGATTGTTTCTGAATGTTTTTCCCGATGTACACATATTGTGTCCAGTTCCACACCCCTCGACTTAATATTTAGACTTTGTCAAAAATGTACCTTTAACTACGCTAAACAACATGAATTTGTTAAAACGACATTGACTCGATGTCACTGGGATGTCGCTGGATGCTTTTCTTAACGTTTCGCATATCCCTTTCGAATAGGGCCCTTATATTGCTTACGGCGAACGCTTTTACATGTGTGAAGCTAACAACACCCAGCTTCCCTGGAGATGGAATTTGCGTGCTTCTCACTTTAACCCACATAAACCAAAAGAGCTTCAACGCCTGACAGGTAACCTCACGGGCTCAACATCTATTGATGACAGCTGCTGGGTAAGAAATTGCAAATATCACAGTGTGACATTCAAACGATTACAGCAATGTTTGTCATGACAGGGGAAAGTAATTATGGATACTTGGTCGAACAACCAATGGAAGGAAAACGCCTTTATGGCGAATTTCAAGAACAATGCATGTAAAGCTCTTAAAGAAAATATTCCTGGATTTTACGAGAAGATTTCGAAGATGGAAATGAAAGGCGCGTGCATATTGAAACCTGTAAGTACTTAGACTGCTCTGGCCGTACTTGTACGGTCATTTGGATTTTTCCTCACCTAATACTTTTCTTTTGAAAAAAAAAAAAGAAAAGAAAATGACAATATGTATTCCACACATATTGTAAGGCGGCTTCAAACACAAATGAATTATAAATGTGAAGATTGTAATGGCTTCTATTTACAGGGAGTGAACGAGTTCAATAACACATCAGTAGACTGGACTTTTCCAAAATTTGCAATCATGCCGTATGGCCCCTATAGGTTCAGAGTCACGATTGGCAAAGCTGAAAGCCGGTACCTATGCTTAGTGGTAGAATGTAGGATTATTCCAAAACCCGCATAACTATACTATGTTCTTCGTTATTTCAATGCTGTCCACATCAAACAAACTTTGGCAGCTTTAGCGCGGGTCGAAATATATGCTACAAAATGGACTCGACAATATCGTTTTATCAATCGAAACTACCTGCATTCTGACAGCTTTGGAGTCCCGTCACGCTTGGACATCATGACCCAGAGAGAGAGAGAGAGAGAGAGAGAGAGAGAGAGAGAGAGAGAGAGAGAGAGAGAGAGAGAGAGAGAGCTCTGAAAGAATTTTCTGGTTGTTAACTGACGACGCGTGGAAGAGCTCGTGCGGTTTAAACACTCCCATCTCAGGCCAGGCACACCTCCTGTCACAATGTGCTGTATACGAGGCTGTCTAGGGGACTTTAAATAATTAAATAGGTCCTGGTACCTCCTCATGCTTCTCAGCGTAACGATTTTCTCAAGTGCATTGCGCGTGACCCCCCCTTTTTATTATATTTTTTCTGGGGGACCCGGTGGGGGGGGGGGGCTGGGGGCAGGATTCGCGTCAGATTGCTTTAAAATGTATACTAGTGTCAGTCAAATGTAAAAGGTCATGCACGCAAGCGACATGACGCCTGTTGTATTCGTACCAAATCACGACAGCGATCTGCGTTTGTTTCTGTTCCTAGTTTTTATTGTTGTTTGCGCCTGCACGCCAGCCGGCCACTGTTGTAGGCAACATCGATGTTGACCACAGCACAAAAGTCCCATAGAGAAGTTGGCCGCGGGATGTTTCGCCAAGGTGCGTTTTATTCAAAGAAAACGTGGACAGAGCACTCGGAATTACACTGTATCACACTCACACGGTAATACGATATGACTGCTAATATTCCGCAATTTCCTTTCTAGTGCCGCGGTGCCGCGTGTCTGCTAGTATTCCGGTGATCCAACATGTCGTTGGTACTCGTACCCCTCCTAGCACTTATGTGCCAGGAGGGCATCCACGGCAAAGGAATCAACTCTTTGATGGTAAGTTACATTTTACCTAATGCTCACACGAGTGGAAAAACAAGGTGCTAAGTGGTGCCTTTTCAGGGGTGACATAGACCTTTTCAAAAGAACCCTATATGTGCCAAAAATAGTACTTTTGGCGGTTATAATTCCTTCGTAAAGGCACTAAACATTTCGTGCCCTTTGTTTTTCAAATGCACTTAACACAAGGGGTGTGGAACTGGCTAGATGTGTGTACAGATGATTGTTTCAGATTGTGTGTAGTTGTGGATGACTGTATGTGGTTGCCTCGATGATTGTTTCAGATTTTCCGATAAATGTTCTGACATATCTTGTAAAATTCTGTCAGATTAAGACTTGATTGTGGGGGATTGTGTCCGATTGTCTCATGATTGTTTCTGAATGTTTTTCCCGATAAACACATAATGTGTCCAGTTCCACATACCCCTCGACTTAATATTTAGACGCACTGTTGAAAGAGTTATTAAAATTCATAACAGTTTTGATATTAATTTTAATAACATTCGTGATGTCATAACCTTGTTGTAAAAAGTAACAACCCTGTTATGAAAATTCATAGAAGTTGTGAAATTTAAGAATCGTTGTGACTTTTCTTTAACATGTTATAACTTTTTATAACATGTTATGACTTTTTATAACATGTTATGACTTTTCAAAAACGATTGTGAGTTTTAATAACTGTTAAATGTTCAAAAAACTAGTAAAACACACATGTTTTGATTTTACTTTGATGCTATAGTGTTATGTACCTTTAACTACGCTAAACAACATAAATTTGTTAAAACGACATTATTGACTTGATATCACTGTGATGTCCCTAGGATGCTTTTCTTAAGGTACTGCATCTCTCTTTCGAATAGGGCCCTTATGTTGCATACGGCGAACGCTTTTACATGTGTGAAGCTAACAACACCCCGCTTCCTTGGAGATGGAATTTGCGTGCTTCTCACTTTAACCCACATAAACCAAAAGAGCTACAACGCCTGACAGGTAACCTCACGGGCTCAACATCTCTTGATGACAGCTGCTGGGTAAGAAATTGCAAATATCACAGTGTGACATTCAAACGATTACACCGATGTTTGTCACAACAGGCGAAAGTAATTATGGATACTAGGTCAAACAACCAATGGAAGGAAAACGCATTTATGGCAAATTTCAAGAACAATGCATGTCAAACTCTTAAGGAAAATATTCCAGGATTTTACGAGAAGATTTTCAAGACGCAAATGAAAGGCGCGTGCATATTGAAACCTGTAAGTACTTAGACTGCTCTGGCCATACTTGTATGTTCTTTCCCCTAGTACTATTGAACAAGAAAAATTCCTGTGCGGAATACAGGCGCTTTAAATTTTCCGTGACAAATAGCACGTCGAATCGTGAGTATATTCAAACCGAAGTTGCCGTTTGCTTTTAAGTTAAAAAGAAAACAGAAAAAAAAAAGAAAACTGACGGTCATTTGGATTTTTCCCCGTCTAATATTTTTTTGAAAAAAAAAGGACGATTTGTATTCCACACATATTGTAAAGCGGCTTCAAACACAAATGAATTATAAATGTGAGGATTGTAATGCCTTCTATTTACAGGGAGTGTACGAGGTTAATAACACATCAGTAGACTGGACTTTTCCAAAATTTGCAATCATGCCGTATGGACACTACAGGTTCAGAGCCACGGTTGGCAAAGCTGAAAGCCAATACCTATGCATAGTGGTAGAATGTAAGCTTATTCCAAAACCCGCATAACTATACTATGTTCTTGGTTATTTCAGTGCTGTTCACATCACACAATCTCTGGCAGCTTTAGCTCGGGGTCAAAATATATGCTTGAAACTGGACTCCACAATATCGTTTTATTAGTGGAAACTAGGCAACTACCTGCATTCTGACAACCTCGGAGTCGCGTCACGCTTTTATGTGTCACGCATTGTATACGCTTCGTGCACAATGACGAGCCTTAAATACTTGTTTTGCCTGTGCAAGCAAGGTTTAGTCAGTCTGTCCTCCTCTTAAGCGCGACCATTTCCCGCCACCCTCGGTAACCTCTGCCCTGAGAGGGAAGCGAGTTCTCCCCCCGCCACAGCGTCCAGCTCGGCCGAGGAGGGGAGCTCCGCTACTCGCCGATACTTGTGTCCTTTTGTAATTGGCTCGGACAACACACCACTCAAGAGGGGCCGCCGACACGGGAGCCAACTCAGACGTCTGGTGCGGCGAGGAGGGCTGCTCAAAGTCCTCCCCCCCTCAGCTGTCGCCGCTTTAGGTCCTCACTTTGTCTCAACCCCACAGAAAAAGTCTACGTTTTCGAATAATTTTTCTCTTTGTTAGGGGGGGGGGGGGAATAGCTTGACAAAAACATTGGCAACAGAGAACTAGATTCCAACAAAGGGAAAACTTCCACACTAAACCGCACTAAACATATATGCGACTGGCCCTGTTTTTTTGAGTGCCTCTCTAACACCATGCTGCACGCCGCCTTGGAGCGCGTGGGGCTAGACGCGTGACCCCCCCCCCCTCCCTTCACCCCCATGCTTCCATCCAAACCCCCTAAACTCTTTGTCACTGGCCCCACGCTATGGCACCGAGCCAAGGGCGAGAGAAGGGGGGGGGGGAGCGGTAGAATGTGAGATGCGCCCCACACCATGTCCCTCACGAGGCTCCCCATTCACCAGAGAGACCAGAGAACCTCTCCCCTCTCACCTAACACTCCCCTCCTTTGCTTCCAAACCTGAATGACCGCTGTCTGTGTCGATTTCACTCCTCGGGCGTTTTGCTTCTTCTACTGTGGCTTCTCTCTCTCTCTCTCTCTCTCTCTCTCTCTCTCTCTCTCTCTCTCTCCCCCTCCCTTTCCCTCTCACTCTCTTTCTCTCTCCCTCCCTCTCCGTAACGACGCGGAGGAGTACGATGTTTTGTCACCGCTAATCCGCGCAGGGCGAAGTAATGAAGACGAAACAGCAAACCTGGGGCGGGAGAGTGGAGCAGCGGGCGAGGCGGGTGATGATGGCGCCAGGGAGCGCCCCACCCCCTCTTCCTCTCTCTCACACCAATAAATAATAAGACGAGATAGTTAGAGAGAGGGTGGTAGAGATAGTGCGAGTGAGCGAGAGAGGAGGACATGCAATGAGAGAGTGAGAAAAACGTTTTTGAAGACCGGTCCGGAAAAGAGCAGGAGTAGAAGCACGGGCAAAGCGCAAGCCTGCAGTGCGATGG